CACGTCTATACATTTAAATGTACATTTTTTAAAATATATATTTTGAAAGATAAAACAAAACAAGAGAGTTTGGAAACCATGAATAATAAAGAATGTTCTGGATCGTTTCGTATTTTTTTTGACTGCACAAATCGTAAGTTTTTCTTTCACGGTCATTTACGACTGACCGTAGATCTAAAGTTGAAGTATTTAAGTGCACATTTACAATAATATGACGTGAAGAGGTGGCATTATGGTCTAAATATGTGCATAAGTACAAGTGTTAAGCACTTCACTTGAAATGTATTTAAAAGTGTATCTAATAAATATATCTTTATTAAATATATGTGTAGGATATTACTTTTTTTCCCCCTGGCCTCATTACCTCAGTGACACACAATATGCCCCTGCCATGTAAAACCGAGCATTTAAAATCAGTGAAATGCTACACTGCCGGACATCCTTGCTAAGCAGCATAAGTAGGGCATATGTAAAAAAAATCGTATTAAATCAAACAAAATAAATAAATAACCAACTATGTCCACCCCCCCCCTACCGCTATTGAATATAAATGTCTTCCAAAGTACCGTAATTGCTCCCTCTGCTCTCCATGTCGTTATAATTGTCGGCTATCGTCTTTGGCAATCTCGGTGACCTCCATGGTACATGTGTGTAAAAACCCACTTTATTACAGCCGTCACCTCATAACACTTGGGACTACTGCTCCTGGGCTGTTTCGTTACTTTATTACTTGCTGATATACGCTCACTTTGACACTTGACTTAAAATAAACTAGGTGACTTTTTGAACCTCCTCGTCTCCTCTCTTCCGAGGCACAGGGGATGACGAGAGAGTACAATTGTAAACACCGATTACACAGGTCAACACACTTTTTCTGGCATAAGGTATTCCAACGGGTTTAAGGTAATTTTGGGGTGCTGATTCCAAATCTGGCATCAGTGTGTGTCTATCACATCAGGTTTTTGAGATATCAAATATTGCATTTTCAATCAAAACTGCAGAAGAAAAATATTAAATAAATGTGGATATCTACATAAAATTATATTATAAACACACTCTCCTAAAAATACAGCACCATATTTTAACACTAAAGCAGTCACTGACTCGCAACAACTTGCAATCATAAGTGACAGAGTTAATTTCGGGTAAAATCAATGAAATGGGGTATGCCGATAGCATAAAAATGAGATGTGATAGAGCAAATCTGAGATCAGATTTGGAATCAGCACCCTGAAATTAGTCTAAAACAGCTGCAAAAGTCCAGGCCAGAAAAAAAAGTTTTTTTTGTTGACAGTGTTATTTTCCCCCCTCACATTTATTCTTAATAGAAAGTTGACCAAATTGGAAGTAAAATTCACTGACATATCTTTAGATTTCCAAGCAGCAATTTCCATCAAAGCGTGTGAGCAGCGTGGCTTATTACGCCTGCAAAAAAAAAATCAGTGATCAGAAGTGGCGATATGAAGCGTAAATGAAACATTTTAGAACAATAACGGAAAACAGTGCCGTTTCCATCGCGCTATAATGTTTTTACAAAGTCATTACATTTTGCACCGGTTCCAATAAAATTGGTAAAATTGCGAGATGAAGTCATCGTGCCAATGGGAGCTTTTATTCTTCGCCTTTTGTTTTTTTCCCCGTGAATTTTCACATGGAATTCACCTGGGTGCCAGCCAACCACTTTGGCTAATGGAGCAATGTGGCAGCCCTCTGTGTGTGCAATGGAAAACAGGTTTGGGCGGCACCCCACTTCCACAGCCCATTCCCAACCTCTCCACTTCCCCAGCTCCTCATTCTCTCCCTCTTACCGCACACTCCCCTCTCCTCCTCCTCCCAGCCTCCCCGAGCCTACTCAGCCCCCTGCACACCCACCTCTATACCCTCAACCCCCCGAATCTCTCCCCCAAAACCCCCTACCTACCACCTGCCCTACCCTCTCTCAAATCTCAACTTCCACCAGCACTCTCAACCCCTTCCATTAGGCAAAATCAAGAGGCACTGTTTTTTTTTAATAGCTGTTAATAACGATACAAACATGGAATTACTCATGTGAGACTTGATTATTCATAATGTAATTATGCACTCAAAAGGTTTACGAATGTTATAGTCAAGCTCATGGAATGGACAGAACTTGACTGACAAGACGGAGCAAGTGGGAAACGTTACAGACGAGACGGTAAAAAAATAAAAATAGGCAAAAAAAAGAATGGACTCTGTAACCTCATTACAACTCTGAATCGCATTATATGCTATTAATTATTGCAACGCTAACAAAAATATATTTACAATTTTTGGTTAAAAGTTCGCCAAACGACACCCGTCGAGGCCACTTCGTGCCCAGCACGGCGTGCTTTGGAAAACGTCAACTTCAAAGAAAACATCAACTTGGAAAACATCAACTGGAGAAAACATCAACTTGGAAGAAAACATAAACTTGGAAAACAGCAACTTGGAACAAAACAACTTTGAAAACATCAACTTGTAAAACATCAACTTCGGAGAAAAAAAATCTCGCCCTGCGTGTTGGAAACCACCTTAGACCGCACAGTTTTCCCCCGTATAGCTCAAGACAGACCACAATCAACGCTCTTCTCCCCCTCGCTGGGATTGTGCAAGCCACGCGGCGTATTTAATTACGACGGTCAAAATCGTCGATTGACCGCCGACTCAACCATAACCCAATGCGGAGGCCCAGCTTTGAAAAAAAGAGCCCTTGAACTCGCCACGCATGAAAGCCGCGCCTGGTGGACGGTTCAACTATTAAGGAAACAAAATAGAACCATTGAATGGGCGACCACTGCAACACATCGCCATATATTAACGGCGCATATCAAGAGCTCATAACTGCCCGGTGCTGGCTGAAAGACGTCGCCTGTTTAAGAATGGCGAGAGCTGAGATGCACGTGTAACTCAAAGGGCTTGTAACGATCCAGGCGTAGCCAACGTGAATGTGGTCGTCACACGGAGTGAGGAGGCTCTCTGCAGTTTAAATAACCGTGTTTACAGGCAGCCGGTTTCAATTACGACATTGTGCACTTTTGTTTTCTTCCTGCTCAAGAGAAAGCCAGCCATTTGGTAGACATATGGGGGTCGTTTCGTCAATGTAAATGTTCTAACTTATTCCAATATATCTCCTGTCCGAGTCATATATTTCAAGGACATAAAGTAAGATTTGTTTTTGCTCCATAGATTTTTTTTAGCAGTTGTGCAGTCTTAGCTCTCTGATGTGTTTTCTGGTGATGGCGCAAAAATGTTGTTCTGGAAGAAGCTCCCAGAACGTGGAGTGAAACGTTGGACATCTTGCGGAACAACACGCGGTGCGGCCTGAAAACAGTCGTTTAAGAACGAGGCGAACTTGCTTTAATCGAGATGATCCACAGCTTCGATTGGGTTTGGCTGTATTCCCTGCCGGCTGCTCAACACAACTCATATTGAGAGCTGTGCGTGTTGTGTATTCGCGTTGGTCATTTTTAGACGTCAAAAAAAAACACATACAAGTGGCAGTGAGTGCTCATTTACCTCCCCTTATTAAATACGAGCACTCTATGGGGGGACATGTATTTCCTTATGTGGTACAATGTAGCAACACTATCGTCTCTTGCATTGAAGCCGTTTGTTTACCGGACGGGCAATTAAGATTTGTAAGTTGATTTATTTTTCTTTTGAGGCCATTGCATATCCACTGGGTATCGTTTAACGCACTGCGGTGCACAATGTTGTTTTGGAGCGAATCGCGTGGATTTTGTAGCGTTGCACTGATACACTCCTTCCATATTCACGTCTCCTCTGCCTGCCACCGTCTCTCCCCTATGCTGTCTTCATTCCGTACCTCTGCTACTAAATCGTCTCAACTCCCTCCCAGACCTGTAGCGTTCTGCACCTCTTGTTTACGAAAAAAAAGGAAGAAAAAATATTATTTGAATCCCACCGCCACTTCTCCTTCAAACGTTCCAGATGCTCACGTTTCTTCCACCCGGAGCGCATTGAGATGCGGTCGCATTCACACGCTTGCTAGGTCCGAGCTGTATTGTGATATACTGACAATGTTCAATTTGTGATGGAGCACTTAATTTAATGTACGCAGACACTGGTGCATACTTACGCTAACCCAATAATTGTTTTTGCATGTTTATTTTTTACGTAACTGTTATGAATGGCAGTATTTTTCTTGAGGATTCATACGGAAATGATGCAAGATTTAAGTACTTGCAGAGGAAAAAAGCTATTACTGTGATGACAGCATTGTCAGTGCGCTTTACTTTTGCAGCCGCATTCGTTTTGTGGGATGACCCCATTATTCTTAAAGGGCCTGCAATTTGACGACCGTGCATAAACGTTCACGCACAAAGAGACATATTTGTTATGTTGTTTTTGTCATTGCTTGCTACCAGGGTTCCACGTGGAAATGTCCTCTCCGTAGCCCAGTGGAACTTAAAAATCAGTGGCTGAAAAAGCTCCCAGCACGTGGATTGAAACGTCGGACATCCGGAGCGACACGCGGTACAACCCGACAACACGTCTTATAGCAACTGAATTAGAAATTAAAAAACATGAAAAAGTCAATAAAAATAAATATTTAATTTTGTTACCACAAGAAAACTTCCAAGTTCAGTTTTTGTTTTCCGTTCTCGGTATAAACTCAACAGAGTGTGCATGTAGAGTGCAAGACGAGATCCACTGTGCTCAAATACATTTGGAGTTAAAGGTCGCATTGGCTAATAGTTGACAATTCTTATTAGCTAATAATTGATCTATCATTAAGTCTAGTGGATTACAAGTCATATAATACTTCATGTAAGCTTTCCCCTGCACCCCTTCAACGCGTAAGTGTCGCACAAACACTGCAGGATAAATTCCACATTCCAATGACAGGGGCAATCCGTTGTACACCCACGATTGACCGCTCGCTGCGCGGTACAAACTTGCCAAGCGGTTCTCATTTTTATAGATTCCTGTAAAAATGATGATGATGATGATGATGGCGATGTCGATATGCCTACCTCGTGCTGCACCTCCCATCGTCCCAACCCACACGACCAGCATGATCACGGCGACCGACGTCGCTCGCCTGCTCCATGAGCACCAGCCCAGCATCGCAGAGCCTGCAAGCCGCTCTTTATCCAGGGCAGTTCACCTTTGTCTGCGCCTGCACGCCAACACAACGGAAAGGTGACACAAGGAAGAAGAATCGTCATGCACACGCATGGATTCTGCAGCGCTTGACAAAATGCGTGCATCTCCGAGATTTACTGTTCTTCATGAGCAGTACGGAAGCAGAGAGGTAGCTGACAGGGGGAAATGTGTTTGCCATACTAATAGTTCGTAATGATTTGCTCTGGTTTGTGTCTCCAAGCTTTTGGGTAACACTGATTAATTTGCCCAGTTTTCACCACGTTTATACTATCATTTGGTTGATATTGAATGATCGTTACAAGAGCTATCACCCCCCCCCCCGGCCTCATCTGCCCCCCCCCCCCCCCGTTACAGACAGACAGGGTTCGCACATAGGTGGCAATTCAACCTTAGCTATAAAACGTTAAATAAAAAAAACGCTGTCGCAATCCTGCCACACGCAGACTCCAATGAACTGTGGTGTACGACCGTGATTTTTTTGACGATGATTATTACAGATCGACCACAATGAGATTTTCGACAAGCGTCAGTCTCTGAGTTGGTCGCCCTTTCGTCACTTCAGAATATTTTATTTAAACTGGAGAAATCCGATGAGCTATGAAGCTCTTTTTCACAGATGTCCAGTGGGGCCACGGGGTCTCAGAACGTTACAACCAAAAACAGTAACAAAAAATTATGATAGTAGTGCAAATGGCCAAGAACAAATCACCCAAACACATACGAATAAAACTAAACCATCGCCATCCTTAGCGAGTATGGGCGCTCTTTCAGCCAAACTTATAGTCCCACGATAAAAAAGCCCTACCCAGGAAAAGCCATCATTGAGTCTCTAAGAGTGTTATTTCAGGAGGAGGGTCCTGCATTGAGATCGTGGTTGGAGGTTGGTTGCACATGTTTGTGCAATCATTTATGTTCCGTCGAAACTGTTAGCAAACTTTCATCGGTGTTGGTTAATCAATTTACACATTCACTTAACATTCACGGGAGTAAATATCCAGCGATTGTGCGTTATTCTTTATGAAGTAATATGACGTGTAATTCTGTAACCTTGGGCAAGTCGTGAGGTGTAAGTATGGCACTTATTGACAGGAAGAAACAGTCAAAAATGGAAACCATTGCTCGATCAAGTGAATTAAACATCTCATTCACATGTCATGCTAGGAGCTGATGTGTATAGTCATTGAAACAAACTCCTGTAGATAACAATAACAACCACGTTCGATCAAAGTGCACTAAAAGTTATATTTTGTAAAGACATCGTGACGATGGTGGTGGTGGTGGTGGCATTGATACCATCACATTTGGACTTTCTCAATATATCCACACCAAGGCAATTCACAGTAATAAAATACCCAACGCAATCGTCAATAACGCAACGTCGCCCGTTATATCAACTATAAATCTAAACTCTATAACAGGTGCCGCCGTTTGGCACGACGGGCCCTCCTCCATGTGCTATGCGGAAGGGCCACAGCCCGAAACGTCGCCCAGTGCATGTTATCCTTTCAAGGAACACGGATGTTATTTACCAAACGCGTCTAGATGTTTGTTGTTTGCGCATCATTGCCAACGCAGCAGGAGCAGCGCGAAATCATTTGTGTAATTGCCCCAATGCATGAGTGAAACTTAAAAAAAACGCCGTTTGGTTCACCATTAGCCTAAATTTCGATTTAAAGCTTTCGTGACTGCAGGGATTCATCTTCTTGGTTCTTTCGGTAAAGTCACGTAGAAGGGGAAAAAAAACATAATAAAATAATTATCACGACGTTTCGGCCACAACGCAAGCAGCCGTCCTCGGGTGAAGAACAGGTCTGTCGGAAAGACAGCGTCTGAATGACCATTAATTAGCCTGTTTGCATGCAGCGTGAGACGGCGACTTGAACTGAAGCGCAGAGGACGCTTTGACATCCGCATTTAAAAATAGCGCAAACTGCACCACCGCAGGAGCCATAGGCTGCTGTTCAATTACACTTGGAGGTTGCCGCCGTAGGGCGCGTGGTCAGCACACCGACTCGCGCACGCGGATGCCCAGAAGAGTGGGCGAAACAGCCGATGGTGCTGGAGGTTGCTGGCTTACTGGGAGAGAGGGAGCTAGGACGACTCAAACGTTTACCCCTCTGCCCCTAACCTCCGACTGAGATGACATACCCGAACAAGAGACAGAGATGGAGTGAGATGGCTTAAACGGAGGCAAAAGGTATAGAAGCGTCGGGAGATACAGACGAGACAGAGTTGTAGTCAATTGAGAGAGACAGCGATGGGAGTTAACAGAAGCGAGATACAGTCTGAATTGGGACGCGAGGTATTCACTCGACGCTTTTATGTTTATTATGGTTTTAATTTCAGCTGTTATTTGGTTCAATCTTACTTTTCAACTAATCCGGAGGCCCTTGAGCTGTTTGGGGCCCTGAGCTTTTGTTTGTTCTGCGTATGCCAAGCGCCAGCGTGTGCTAACGCTCACCTACATAACCCACGTGCCGCTCGCGCCTTCTCTCTTCCACCCCAATGCAACAAAAAAAATCACGACCCATTCATCCGGCTGCGCGCGAACGGGGGTCGACTCACCTCGTGCGGACTGGCACGCAGCGGGAGCCCCGAGACTTTTAAAAGACAACCTCCCGGCGCTTGAGCAGAACCGAAGGCGTCAGTCACAGCACGCGTCCTCGGCAAAGCAGCGGCGCTGCGCATACGTTTTTTGTTTGTTTGTTTCAAAGTTGATCGCGTTGCAGCGACTTGAGAGATAGAGAGTGAGAGACGGAACACGAGGAGCGGGATGAGACGACAGAGCGCGTTGGCTATAAGGACGAGTCGCAGAAGACGACGAAGTAGACGCGAGACGGTGCACGCAGGCGTCGAGGCTGGAGTTTGGCTGAATCCGTGGCAGGAACGCAGAGGTGCGTGCGGCCGGCGTTACCGCGCCGATCGCGGCACCACTTCTTCGATCTCGGGGCCTCGGCGGCGGTGCCGGCAGCAGCAGCAGCAGCAACAGCAGCCCGTGGCCACGGGGCCATGGAGCGGGGTTGAGCCTCCTCCAGCTCTTGCCAGCCGTCGCCGCGATGTCCGAGGACGAGGAGAAGGAGACGGGACGCGGGCACGCGGCGTGCGCGACGCGCGCGCTGCTAACGCGCGGGCTGACGAGCCGACACCCTCGCGAGTAAAAGTGCCACTCTTTGACAGTTGTCGTAGACCCGGTTCCCTTTTCGCCGGTTTTGAGGACATGAGGATGGAGAGGTGGGGGTGGAGGGGATGGTGGGGTAAGAGTTGGTGGGGGGGAGGATGACGGGGGGGGGGGGGGGGTGAAAGAAGGGATGTTTGGGAGGGAGGAAAGGGGGGGGTTAGGTGAGAATGGAGAGAGAGGAGAGACACACACGCGCACGCACGCACGCGCGCGCACACAAGCAAGGTAGGTGCTTGGGTTGTTTGGTTGGACGCTACAGCTCACAGTCTGAAACCGCGCCTCCCTCCCCCTCCTCGTGTGCAGACTTCGCTCCCCCCCGTCCCTCCCGACGGCTCCCAGCCTCCTGCCGCAGCCACACGCGCCCCCTCTGCTCTCCACGATGAACTACAAAAGAGCGAAGCTGCTCCACTGTTCGCCGTTTTTGCGGCTGCCCCGTTGTGCCGCGCTGCGATGCGCTCTCGGGTTGGAGCGCGCGTTTCTCCGTGTTATTTTCTGACGCATCTCTCTCTCTCCCTCTCTCCACGTGCTAATTCAGGCAGTTCCGTGCCGATAATTACACGAATTCAAATAAATGTTGAAGCCATGTGTATGCGTGATTTTTTTTTCTCTCTCCATAAATTGTGCTCTACTCCAGTGAAATGCTATTTGGGGAAAGTTTGATGGAACGTATACAACTTTAGCCGTACTTTCGATATAGTGGCTTACTTTGCAATCGGGATAGAGATGCACACAACACGTGATTTATATTTTGTCCAATAAATGCGTTCGACCACGACCATATCATCCGGAATGCGCTCGATCTCGTCCGATCTCGGAAGCTTTCAGTGCGGTTGAGCCTAAAGAGCGTTACGACGGGAGAAACCCACGCACAACCAGCGGCATAGGCTGATGCGAGGCCACGTTTGCGGGAAGCAAAGGGCAGTGCAGCATATTTCATCGTTGTACAGTACTTCTGTGCCTCCACGTCTATGCTTCCCTCCTTCACCAAACCCCTACTCGCCATGAGCGTGGGGGGTAGTGTGATCAAATAATCACCGTTAAACGCATGGCGTGTGGAGGCCCTCATCCAGCAGCGGATTGACAAAGGGCTGTGATGTTTGTTGTATTATTGACACCAGGTAACACAGCACCGAACTCAATGGCTTTCCATCGGCTTGAGCGTCACACTTTATTGGAGGCGAATCACCAACGATAGGCAGGGCATCTCCTTTAAGCGTTTAACACAAGACATAAAAGCAATCTAAGAACGTTAACGTGATCCTATCTCGCGCGTAAATCCACACAATCTACTTCCGGACGTGATTATTTGTGTCTCCGCGTTCGATATGTTAGATTTTCGGATGTTTCTATTTATTGATGAGTGTCACGTTTCAGATTTCTATCCCTTTAACGTCATTAGAATATATCTATGTAAGTACATAAATCAGGCAGGTCACGATCGCCAATATGTATTAGATCTTTATATATGTGGTGCGTGCGTGCTAGGATGCATGTGAGTGTGTATATATGGGGGAGCGGTGGTGTAGTGATGAGCATGCACTGCACTTCGAAGCCGGCGATCCGAGTTCGATTTCTGGCCACCGCTCTCTCACCGCAGTGACAAGTGATCATCTGAACTGGTCCTGAGCTTCTTCGAGGTCGACTCAGCCTTAAATGTGTATCTCTGATGCGATGCGTAAACATCAACGCTGCCAGCTATGCCACTGGTCACACCAACTCCTAATGCGTCCTTCTGACCTTAATCCTTAATCGGTGCAGGACATAAAGGTTAATCGTTGTGCCGCGTATATGCATCCTGTTGCACGTGCATTATTTCACGCATGTACGACGTAATATATTGTGCATACGTGTATTTGCATTCGCTATATTGCAGCGCCAATCGGCATTCTTCTTCTTGGTTCTTTCGGTAAAGTCACGTAGAAGGAAAATAATAAAATAATAAAAATAAAACATAATAAAATAATTCTCACGACGTTTCGGCTACAACGCAAGCAGCCGTCCTCAGGTGGTGTTTCATTCTTCACCTGAGGACGGCTGCTTGCGTTGTAGCCGAAACGTCGTGATAATTATTTATTATGTTTTATTTTTATTATTTTATTATTTCCCTTCTACTGTGACTTTACCGAAAGAACCAAGAAGATGAATCCCTGCAGTCACGAAAGCTTTAAATCGAAATCGGCAGTTTGTTCTCCTGCGCCCAGATATACATACAAGCCACTGAAAACCATTTCTGACATTCCCACAGACCGTAAGTCGCATGCAGAGAACGCGGTTTCTATCAAAGGAAAGAATGTAGTTTTCAAGTTTCATATTCTTATTTTAACTGCGGCTATTTGTCTCATGATCGCATGGCGTGTCACCCGTTCATTGACAATTCAGCGATAGACAGTGAATGCTCCATTATGTTCAGGATTATTTAGTGCATTGCAGCTTTACTTGTGTAGCCTACCCTCAAATGTTAGGAAGCACGTGGGAGAAAACGCAATGTATAATCCAGTGGAACAAGGCTTGTGTGTGTTTTTTTCTTCGTCTACTCAAAAGGATTATTTGCCATTAATTTACAAAAAGGTGCTATTGACGGGCGCCATTATACACATAACGGACTGTATGGGGTCAAAGTTCTCTTAGCGAGCGTCTATGAAACTCGGCACGGCCCACGAGGGCAGTTGCATTGTGTGGTCAGCACCACACCACGCCCGGCCGCCCCCGTGTCTCCCCAGTGTTGATGTTGTCACGGCGCAGTGGATACTCATTTTAATGCTGAGTCGACCTAGGGAGAGGCCCAGGACCAGATCGGATATTCGTCTGATGTTCGTAATGGTCGAACTCAGGTAGCTGGGTTTGTAGTGCAATACGTGTACCACGATACTACTGCTCCAGCCTATTTGTAAATATTTAACATATATAATCAGAACTACGTTCTTTATCTGCACATACAAATAAACACTTTTTTTTTGTCCATCGATCTATCTGATTTCCAGCAAAATATTTGCAGCAACGTTTGCAAGAAAACTATGGACCGATGTCGACATCCTCGGTCTCATTAATCAGGCTTTGCTACACAAATGCTGCTGGACTGGGCCGAGATATGTTTTTTTTTTTAAAAAAACAAAGATCCCCCGTATAGCCTTAACCGACCGTTGGTGCAATTGCCGTTAGCGAGCACCTATGAAGGCCAGAACGGCACACGAGGGGGTGGGTGGGCCAGGATCACGCCCGGCCGCCTTTGCCTTCCTAATGGCGATGTTTATTACGCACCTCACCAGGTACTCATTTAAGGCTGAGTCGACCTAGAGGAGGACAAGGACCGGTTCAGATAATCGTCACCGATGTTGGCCGTGAGCGGGAATCGAACTCGGGTCGTTGGGTTTGTAGCGCAGCGCGCTAACCGCTACACTACCGCTCCCCACACACACACACACAAACATTGATATCACATTTTTGAAGTAGATGTCTGAACCTGAGCAATTGTTCATTAGAACCCTACAGAGCCATGAATTAAATACATAAATAAATAGAACCCCGTTCATCTGCCCCCACATCAATTACATCTTCTCTCAGTCCTTCAGCATTTGGGGTTTTCAGAACAATGCTGATGGATCGTATAGGTCTGAAAAGGATTCTAGCTGAACAAATATATTTACGTGGAGGGTTGCGTGTGTATTTATTTATTTATGTTAGTGCCCACAATGCTCTTCAACCACGCATGAGTGATTTATTTAAATACTCTCCTATGTATGATGAAGCCGAAGCAAAATAATATTCGAATATAGGCTTTCTATTTTACATTGTGTAGGTGCGTTTGTTTATACAAGGGTCACCTCGATATTGTCTTTATTTGGTTCCTAAATAAAACATTTGTTCAATTTATACAACATTTTAGATATTCATGGGACTATCACGCACATTTCTTCGATGGCACACTGCTCTATTTTGGGCAATGTCCCTTCTTCATAGCAAAGAGATGATGGACAGGGCCGCTGACTAAGTTTTAAGGGTTGTAAACTGTGCACTTTACACTGTGGAGTCCTGATAAAACTGGAACATATCAAAAATATTGGTGATATTTCCACGTGTATACTTGTGCAGCTTCAGAAACATAATCACTCGGCTTTTTGTTTCGTAAATATAGGGCTGAATTTGTCCAAACAGTTTATTAGTTCATAAAAAAAAAAACATTGGTTGAACATGTATAAAGTAAATGACAATAAAAAAAATTTCACGTTACATTTTCAATCCGCTGCCGGTTGAAGGCGCCCTCCACACCGTGCCATTCACGAGGGCTGTTTGCCCCCCCTGCTTCAGCAGACTGCTCAGTGTGGGTTCATGAAGGAGTTCGACCAGGGCCGGTTCTGATATCACGCGCCACTGATGTTCGCCATGGCCTGGGTGTTCAACTCCGGTCGCCCGGTTAAGAGCCCCGCGCGTGGACCACCGCGTCGCCACTCCCCCGCACATGCTTACCTAACACCAGAGGTCGCAAACGGGTTTTGATTCCTTACCCGTACCCGGCCGCACCAAGGTCGCAAATGGGTACCCGTACCCGTACCCGGCCGCACCAGGGTCGCAAATGGTAGTCGTTTCCTACCCGTACCCTACCCGAAATAAGTGACAAACGGCTACTCACCAGTGACTCACGGCCTACCCGTACCCGGCCAGGTACGGGTAGCCGGGTATCGGGTAGGGTACGGGTATCGGGTACCCGGTTGCGACCTCTGCGTAGCACCCACAGGAAGACGAAATGGGAGACGCCAAATTGGAAGCATTGATCCCGCAAATTAAAAAATAGAGGAACCTGATTAACCAGTGGGGTCGATGCAATGATCTCGTGAAGATAGATTTTATTCATAACAATCCTTAAACGCCCACGGTGCTTTCTGTAAATGAACGCGGCAAACTTTTGACCCACCCCCCCCCCCCAAAATGGACCTTGATTTTTGTGAAGTTAATCAATGTACATATATATGCCTAACATTGATATGATGTCAGGGGGTAGAGTGGTTAGCGCGATGCGCTCTGAACCCGGAGTTCACTTCTCGGCCACGGCAAACACCGGTGG